CTCCAAGGAAAAGGTATCTGTTGGGGGGCACTTTTGGGTCCACCTGGCCTGCTGTGAAGAGGCAGGGGCTGAGGTTGCCTCTGGGCTTGCAGGGCCCGCCCTGAGAGCTTTTCCTTTCCTTGGCAGGATGCAGAAGCGGCCCCCGCCAAAGGCCCGGAACAGGGCCCCCCCACTGGCAAAGCGGCGGGAGGCCAAGCCCAAGCCCCGCAAAGCCCCCGTGGCCCGCCGTGGGAAGGCCAAAGCCCCCCCTCCCAAGGTCAAGGCCCCCAAGGCCAAGAAAGCCAAGCCAGCTGCCCCGCCCCGCCCGGCCCTCAAGACTCTCTCTGCCCCCAAGAAGCCCTCCTCAGCCACCAGCGCAAAGAAGGACCTGAAGCCCTCGGCCAAGAAGAGCAAGACCACCATGCGCAAGTCCCTGAGAGCCAAAAAGTAACCCCTTCTCCCTCCGGAGTGGCAGGGCACAAGGGGGTGGGGATCTCACACGCTTGCTTGCAAAGTGCAAGGCCGCCTTTGTCTCTTCCTCCTGATGCTTTCAAACATCTCTCTCTTCTCCCCCCCCCCCACTTCCTTCAGCAGCGGTGAAAGCCAGCCAGTCAAAGTGGCACTTAATAATCCAAGCGTCTCCCCTTAGATCTAGGTCCTGTCCTCTGTGCCTTCTCGCCACCCCCCCTCTTCCCCTCTCCCCCTCTCCCATCTACCTGACCCCTTCCCCTCCAGAACCTTTAATCAGTAACATAGAACTGTTCTTTTTAAAAATAAAAAAGAAGGAGAAGGTTAATCTGTACAGGGTCACCTTGCCTTTGAATTTTGGGCTTTTGAAACAGGTTGCAGAAGAAGATTTTTATATTTTTAGAAAGTGGAAAGGATCCCCGGGAAGACTTTCTGAACAGGGCACTTCTTCCTCCTCCTCCCTCCTCCTCCCGCCTTTTGGGTGCCTTGCTTGGTTCTTGCAGGCCAGTGAACCCCCTGGGGTGAGCAGGTCTTCTCAGAAGAAGAGTTGGGTGCCAGATGGGGGGCGGGGGGCTTCCCCACAGACGCCTTCTTCATTACCTTCTTGTGTTTTCTTGTGTGTGGTTTTTTTTTTTTTAGCTTAGATGCTCCCCACCCCCAGTGTTTCAATGTCGCCTGAAAACCAAGCTTACATAAAGTTTTTCTTGAATCCAGCTTTTGAAACTTGTTCTGTAAAGAAAGAGGGGGGGGGACGAACACCAGGTTTCGTCATTTGTTCCCCCTCCCCTTTTTTTAAAGGAAAAAAAAGAGAAAAGAAAATGACCGAGAACAATCTAAGTAGAGCAAGTGATTAGAGCCATTAAGCAAAGGAACATGCTGTTTGTTAAAATAAAAAGTAGACTCTTGACACCTGTCTGGGGTGTGGTCTTTTTCAGACACCCACAAAGTGTGGGGCTGGGGCCTGGGGGGGGTTGGGATGCGGGAGAGAGAAGCCTGCTCCCCAGAGCCATCCCAACATAGCCCCAGCTCTGTCATGGGCCAAGAGGGTCCTGCTTGCAGCTCAGAAGTGCCTTGAAGCACCATCTCAACAGAGGGCTTGGGAATCTTTTGGCCACTGTTTCCCAAAGTTGTTGATGATGCCCGGTTGGATTTAATTAAATTCTTTACAAAACCCTAGGAACATAGGAAATTGCCTTGTGCTGAGTCAGACCCATTGGTCCATCTAGCTTAGCATTGTTTTTGCTGACTGGCAGCAGTGACTCTCCAAGGTTGCAGGCAGGCGTCTCTGCCCAGCCGTACCTGGGACCTTCTGCATGCAAAACACGTGCTCTGCATTGACCTAGGTCTTTTATCAGATGCCCACATTTCTGGCCCAGTTCTTTTTGGGGGGAGATGGCCAGGGCGGGAATGATGGCCATGTTGGTTGATTAGGCAGACAGCTGTTGGAAGTGTTGAGGTTGCAGATGACCACCTTCATTTCAAGAAAACGTCAGGATCTCACCTTTGTCTGCTACATTCCACCCTCGCTCTCCTGCTCCTCACTCCTTAATTCACAGAGGTTTAGAAGGTTCCTTTTATAAATAAAACACATTTTGTGTACCCACACGTAAAACTGAGCCGGGCGGCACCCTGGGCAGCGGGGATCCTGTGATCCAGGGTCAAGGGTGAAAATGCAGGCAGTGTCGGCCATCTGGGCTCTCGCTTGGCATTAACACTTTGGGATGGTGCACAAATGTACAGGAGCACACGGTAGAGACACACACACCCTGTTGTGGAGACCCGTGTGCCTTTACAGGGCAGGGAGAAAAGACTTTAAATGGCACGACATCTGTTTTAGCAGCAGTGCTTGAGCCATCCATGGTCTGCCAAAGGCTGAATGCCCCTCAGAACAGCAGCCCAAAGCGACGGGGCAGTTCTGTGATCCAAATGCCTTTCCCCCAAAGTCTTCAGTTGAAACATGTTACCTCCCCATCCTCCATTTAGATCCCATCCTAGAGCACTTCCTTCTCTCCTTGGCATTCACAGCCCAGTGCAAAGCTGGCTGCCTCCTTTGGGTGACAAGCAGTGTTGGCTTAAGAAAACTGGCAAAAGAGCTTGGGACAAAACCAAGTCTGACCTGTCCATTGGAGATGGCCACTTTGCTGGATATCACAGGCACAGTGTGCCCTGTCTTCATCCCACCCCACTCAACTCTCAAGGACAAATGTTACCCTTTTCAGACGGGCCTCCCAAGATCTTTTGTCTTCCCCTTGTCATTCTGAACCTCTGGCCTTTCCGGGCATTACTTCAAATTAAGCACATCCCACAAAGTCAGGTCATAAAAGTACCATCAACAGGAAGGCGTCCAGCAGCAGCACTGCCAGGGCTCACTAGAAGGAAAGGCTGCTGGAACGGGGGCAGGGCTCCCCAAGTTGGACTACAACTCCCATCATCATCGTTGGTCATGCTGCCTGGCGCTGATGGAAATTCTATTCCCTCAACACCTGGAGGGCCAGAGGTCTAACATCCTTGCTATATAAGATCCGGAATATGCTGGCGAAGATCTTCCCAGGTGCATCTTGGTTTCTCCAAAGTCCTTGCTCTGCAGCTTCAAACCTAAGTCTGAGGTCTTGAGTTTCCAGCTGTTTTTGTACTACCAATTCCCATAATCCCTGACCGCTGTTCCTGCTAGCTAGGGATGATGGGAGTTGTAGTCCAGAAACAGCTGGAGACCCAAAGTTTGGGAAACCTTGGTCCAGTCCAATCTATCTAGTTCTCACAGATGCCCTAAAGGGAATCTGCAAGTAAGACCTGAGCTCAACAGCAGGGCTTTCCCCACCTGTGATTCTTAGCAACTGGTATTTAGAGGCATCTTTGCCTTTAAGACAGGGATGCGGGTGGAGCTGTGGTCTAAACCACTAAGCCTTGGGCTTGCCAATCAGAAGGTCAGCGGTTCAAATCCCTGCGACAGGGTGAGCTCCTATTGCTCGGTCCCAGCTCCTGCCCACCTAGCAGTTCGAAAGCACGTCAAAGTGCAAGTAGATAAGTAGATACCGCTCCAGCGGGAAGGTAAACGGCATTTCCGTGCGCTGCTCTGGTTCGCCAGAAGCGGCTTAGTCATGTTGGCCACATGACCCGGAAGCCGTCTGCGGACTAACACCCGCTCCCTCGGCCAGTAAAGCGAGATGAGCACTGCAACCCCAGAGTCGTCCGTGACTGGACGTAACCGTCAGGGGTCCCTTTACCTTTTACCTTGCCTTTAAGGGTAGAGGTACCTTCCTAGATTCCCTTTCTCCCCGCAGAATCTTTGCAGGGCAGCTTGCAACAGCCAGACATTGTCTTGTCACCCTGGTGACCTTCACTAATAAGAGTTCCTCCACACATTATCCCAGCTCCTTCCTTCCTTAACTTCCAACCACTTCCTGCTCCTGTTCTGCCTCCCCGCCCTCCTTTTTTGTGTTCAAGAACCATCTGTCCCTTCTGCCTTGGCAATGTTCTCGGCCCAAATCTGGTGCTTTAATTCCTCCCGGGAAAGTGGCTTGTTTCCAGTCGTCCCTTGACAAAACTGTCCTCTTTTGTCTGCAAAAATAAATTCTGCCTCAAGGTCACTTCGGGGGGGGGGTGATTATTTTGTCCATCGTAGTTTTTTGTTCTTTTATGTTCTACTTCACACAGCATATAGTTAAACTCTGGAACTCACTCCCATTGATGCCAGCAACGCATTGATGGCCACCAACTTGGATGGCTTCCAAAGATTAGGAAAATAATTCCGGGAGGATGGGGCTATATGTTCCACCTCCACAGTTGGAGGCAGCAATGCTTCTGAATACAGGCTCCTGGAAGCCTGTAGTTGGGAATACAGGTTCCCCAAATCCTGCTTTTGGGATTCCCATTGGGGCATCTGGGTCGCCACTGAGAGAACAGAAGGCTGGACTAGATGGGCCATTAGCCAGATCTAGCAGGGATCTTCCTATGTTCTTGTGACTTACTTTGCGTGCTCTGCAGGGAAAGGGGCGTCGGGAGCCCTGAGAAAGACAGATGTTCCACAGGTGCAGCTTTTTCTCAGGATGGGATGGAGGCATGTAAGGAATGAGCCCTTTTTCTGCACATGTTGGGGCAGGGGGCAGGAACCATTGAGGTGCCCTTTGGTTAAAGTGCCACCTAAGTGCTCAAACAGTCCTACTCTGCCCAGCCACCCTGAGCTGTTTGAATGGGCTGCTTTCCATACAGACTAGGGGTTCCCCTTTCATCCACAGATCCCTAAAGGGTCTGTGAATTGCCCCATCCCCCCAAAAAAAATATTTTCCCAATGCCATAAAAATATGCAAAGTATTGTGGGGGAGGGGCAGTCCACGTAAAGGTAAAGGGACCCCTGACCATTAGGTCCAGTCGTGGCCGACTCTGAGGCTGCGGCACTCATCTCGCTTTATTGGCCAAGGGAGCCGGCGTACAGCTTCCACGTCATGTGGCCAGCTTCCACGTCATGTGGCAGGACACGGAAACGCCGTTTCCCTTCCCGCTGGAGCGGTACCTATTTATCTACTTGCACTTTGACGTGCTTTCGAACTGCTAGGTTGACAGGAGCAGGGACTGAGCAACGCGTCCCGCAGTCCACATAGCTTTCATCAGATTCTCAAAAGGGTCCACAGCCCCCAAAAGTGTACCCCCTTTCCTTCTGAGGAAATGCTTGCATCCATAGAAGTCAACTCCTAAAGGCCGAGATCTCTTTGCCCCCCCCCCACAATAAAATATTTGAGGGGCTTGGGCTCCCCAAAAGTTGATGGGACTTGCCATTCAAATGGTTGCATGCACCACGTCATGTGATTGATTGGCAGCAGGGCGGGGTTTACTTGGACACCCACCCCTGTATTTTATTCAAGTTGGCACCCCTGCTTCTGTTGCAAATGATTCTGGGGGCGCCCCCTCGCTGGCCGGGAGGGCTGTTCTGTGCAGTGCCCTGTCTCTTTTGAAGGTAACAAGACCTCCGAACTTCCCTGGATGGGGAGCTGTTCTAAAGGGAAGCGGGCGAGGCGAGGAGGCGAGTTGGGGGGGGGCTCTCGCCAGGCCTAAGCGCTGCAGGTCGCTCTGCGCCGCCGCCCCCCACCCGCTGCTACATCTCCGCAGCCGGGGGCGGGGACTCGCATTCCTGGCCGCTGATTGGTCGGCCGGGATTCGGAGTCTGCTGCGGAGGCGGCGCGTCCAGGTGAGCCTGGCCGGAGAGGCCGAGCAGGGGCCGGGAAGATGCTGCTGCTGCTGCAGCTGCGGAGAGCGGAGCGCCTGGGCGCGGAGGAGATGCGCGGCGGCGGCTTCCCACGCCTCCTCTGCCAGGTGAGGGCTGCGCCGAGGGAGGGAGGCGGCTTTTCTCCATCCTTCTCCTTCTCCTCCTGTGGCAGGGCGGGAGAAGGGGGCTTCTGGGCGCGTGCAGAGCGCCCCCCGGGTCCTTGATCTCCCGTCGTGGGAAGAGGAGCTCTTCTCCTTTTGGGGCTTCCTATGGGGTGGGGGGACCCCAGGAACTGCTCCTGGGGCATCTCCTCCTTCTCGCCCGCCCCCAATATCTCTTTCCTGGCACCCAGCGCCCCCTCCCCATCATTTTCTTTTGGGGCCATTGCGGGGGCGGAGGTGCCCCACGCCGTTTGGGCATCCGCGGTGCCTCTTCGGGGAGAGGCCGTCTCCTCCCTCCATCTCCCTGTCTCCATCCCCGCAGCAACCCCCGGAGCGGTCCCAGCCGGCGGCGCCATGAAGAAGCAGCGCTCCGAGTACTGGGGAGGGCCAGAGCCCCTGGCTTCCCCGCACCACCACCAGCAGAGGGGCGGGCGGGTCATCGCCAAACTGGCGGAGGTGAGGCTGGGCTGGGCTTTCGCTCTTGTGGGGGGGAGGAAGGATCGTAATAGCTCAGGGGTGGAGCAGCTGCTTGGCATGCAGAAGGTCCCAGGTTCAATCTTCACTGGCAGCATCTCCAGGTGGGGCTGGGAGGGATCCCTGCCTGAAACCATGGCGAACCACTGCTGACAGTCAGTGCAGGCAACACTGACTCAGTATAAGGCAGCTTTCTGGGGGGGGGCAGTGGGTAGAGCATCTGCTTTGCATGCAGAAGGGCAGTGGGTCTCAGGCTCAATTCCAAGCCAAGTAAAACCTCAGTCTGGAAAGCAAGAGAGCCACCGCTGCCAGTCAGTGTAGACAGTACTGAGCTACATGGATGGCAGCTGTCTAGGTGTCTATGAAAGAGAGGGCGAGGACTTGGGAGGGTGAGGAGAGGATGTGGGGTAGAGGGGCTGATCTAGAGCCTGCCTGCCTTGATCCCATGGCCAGGAATCTGGAAAGTGAGCAGGGTTGGGCCATTATTGCCTCCTCTGGTGCCTTGCCTGGCTTTGCAGGGGCACCTGTGCCCACGGAGGCAGCCCATAGCTCCTCCTCCCATTCAGCCTGGGTGGAAGCCTGCTTTGCTGCTCAGCCCACTCCCCTGAAAACCTTAAGGTAAAGGTAAAGGGACCCCTGACCATTAGGTCCAGTCGTGGCCGACTCTGGGGCTGCGGCGCTCATCTCGCTTTATTGGCCGAGGGAGCTGGCGTACAGCTTCCAGGTCATGTGGCCAGCATGACTAAGCCGCTTCTGGCGAACCAGAGCAGCGCACGGAAACACCGTTTACCTTCCCTCCAGAGCGGTACCTATTTATCTACTTGCACTTTGACGTGCTTTCGAACTGCTAGGTTGGCAGGAGCAGGGACCAAGCAACAGGAGCAAACCCCATTGCGGGGATTCGAACCGCCGACCTTCTCATTGGCAAGTCCTAAGCTCTGTGGTTTAACCCACAGCGCCACCTGCGTCCCATCTGAAAACCTTGCAAAGGATCAAAGGAGAGGAAGAGAGAATCCCAGAGAAAGGAGAGGGCCATCCTAGCTCAGCTGCTAGTCTAGGGAGTTTGTCAGACCCCCCCTTTTTTTGCAAGGGGGGCAGTGGAGGTTTGAGGTGCATCTCCCTTAATTGCTTCCCAGAGGCCTCATCTTCCCTGGTGTTCCACGTGTGTCCTTAGAAGGGCTCCCCGGGGTATTCTCCTCTCTCACTTTCCTCCTTCCCTTGCCAACAGTATGTGGGCTCCTTTACCGTCGAGGACACAGAGCTCCAGCAAAAGGCTATGGCCATCCAGCAGCAGCTTCAACGCCTGAAGGTAAGCACTTGGAGCTGTTTGTGGCCACATTAGCCCTCTGCACGTGCTTAGAGGCACTAGCCCCAATGCTTCTTTCCCCTATATGGGGGGGGGTCATTACTCTGGCACTGTGAAACCAGCTCTGTCTCCGAGCCCCTGGGATGTGCATGCTACAAAGCCCCCAAAATTCTAGAGGTGCGGGGAGCAAAAGGGAATTGTCACTGCTTGGAATCTTTGTGCGTCTAGAAGAGCCAAGCGAGTCTCCTTGATGTGCCATTTCTAACTCCGTTTCTCCTTTTCTCCATCTCCCATCCTGCTCTCCCGGAACACAGGACTGCCCCAGACGGCGATCCGTCGTCCTCAAGTTTTGCCTGCAGGGCCTGAAGATGTACAACGCAGAGGGGGAGGTAGGAGCAGGGCCATGGCTTGATGCACGACAGCATGCCGGAACTAGGAGCCATCTTGCCTTATGAGGAGTTAGCTGGGGCTTGTGCCAGGCTGGGTGGGGTCCCGTTTCGTTTTCCAGCTGGCCCACCTTGCTGGCTTGTGGTGAGGATATCCTGAGGACGACGGAGCCCGGGAGGCCTTCTCTGCTTGGATGAGGCAGCCCAGTGGTTGTTTGGTGAGGACATGGGTTGCCAACTGCTTGACCTCATTGCCCCTTCCTCCTCCTCTTCTCCTGCAGGCTCTGCTTATGGCGCATGCCCTCAAGCGCATCCTGTATAGCACCTGGATACCCACTGAGTGCCAGTTCGCCTTTGTGTCCCGCAACCCGCGCAGCCCTCGCAGCAGCCTCTTCTGCCACTTGTTTGTGGGCAGCCAGCCCAGTGAGGTAGGCCAGCTGGTGGGGCAGAGGTATAGCATCTCCGACAGTGGAGGAGAAATACAGCCACCCTGAATAGCAGTAATTGACGGACTTATCGTCCATGAATTTGCCTTACCCACTAGAGGATGAACATTCTATAACTGAAGTCACCACCAAGGAGGCCCTGCCTCTTGCCCCCCAGAAACAGTGAGCACTGTTGGTCGCCGTGAAAACTTGGAGAGCATTAATCCTGCTGCCCCATGAAGGGAGGTGTTTAGTGCCTGCTCCTCTCCTGACAGAAATGTGCCACTCAGGAGTGAAGCTGCTTTCAGCCATTGCCTGGAAGGGGAACGGGGGGGGGGGGCGCTGGGGCGCTGGTGGTGGCTAATGTGCCTCCTGCGTTTTCTGCCCTACAGGTCCAGATTTTGCACTTCTTGCTCTGCCGCTCCTTCCAGCTCTACTATCTCCTGATGCATCCTGAGGACCAAGAATGGGTCCCCAGCGGTTCCACACAGCAGGAGCCTGGGAGGCTGCTGGGAGCCTCTCTGGATAACCGAGTGGCCTGGGAGTCCCTCGATCCGGAGGATGTATCTCAAAACGTCAATGCGTTGGTGTCCTTCCGGAGGCTTCCCTGCCCTGCTGACTTTGGCCCCTCCATTAGTGTGGTAAGTGGGTTCCCTCTGGGGTTCTCCATAGAGTAAGCCGAGGAAGTGAGCCCAGCTGCACCTGGCAGTGGAAGGCAGGCCCTTGCCAGCGGCATCTCCAGGTAGGGCTAGAAAAATACTACCTGCCTGAAACCATGGAGAGCCACTGCTGCCAGTCAGTGTAGGCAATGCTGAGCTGGATTGACCAATGGTTTGATTCAGTGTAAGGCAGTTTCCTATGTCCAGACCTGGATCAGGAAGAAACCACCTTCCAAAATAAGACTTTCAGTCTGATCCAGAGTGCCAGGAGGAAGGGCATTGCCTGAATTTATTCAAGGTGACCTACTGTGCTGGGGTGGAACTTTGAGCCATCCAGCTTCCCGCTAAACTTTATCGCCAGCTCCAGATTCTGCTTCTCCTGCTCAGTGTCCATCCGTCTCTGTCTCGTATCCCTAGAGAGAGAGGCTGGATTTGGAGGAAAGGAGCAGCCTGGGCACCTCTCGCCCGGGGAATCCATACTGCTCTCCAATCCTGGTGCGGAAGAAGGCGATCCGCAGCAAAACCCTCCGCTCCGGAGCTTATCGGGGCTGCACCTTTGAGGCTCAGTTGCAGCAGAGCGCCCGAGAGATGTGTGAGTATTCGGGGAAGATTCTGCTGCTCAGGGAGACAAAGAGAATATCCTGTGCTGCTCTTTCATCCATGTTGCATTCCAGCTATGTAAAGAGCTTCTGTTTATTTCCAAGTGTGTCTCTGGGGTGTTTTTGTCCCTGTTTGTTAGAGGATAGCTTGCCTCCTGCATCTCCTTTTGCATTCTCATTCCTCATTTCTTTCTTTTTCTTGTAATGAGATTCTTATTAAAGTTTTTCATAATACTGTAAAATAGCTGCTACAAGAAAACCAATTGAATAAGTAGAATGTGGAGTCCTCTTAAAAGTAATTATTAGCCCTTACCAACCACAGAAGAGAGTAGCTCATCCCGGTTCTCACCTGAGATATTTTCTCATCCCAGCCTTTCATCCTGGGAGACCAACATTCCCCTAGCTCTCATCCAGAGTCTCACCCATTTCCTCTTGTGTTTCCGTTTCCTGATGTATTTTTGATAGTATCTCTTTTTTTATATAATAATTTTTATTAATTTACAACAAAACAAAACATACTAATTTCACATCTAATTTATCACAAATTGTTTCTTTTCTGGACTTCCTTCAGCTGTTCCGTAAATCATCCATAATCATTATTTTAATTACGCATTCCCTAGTTTGTATTGTCATTGTTTATACCCTTCATTTCTTTTCCCTTTAGACAATACTTCTCAGTTTTTCACAGTGCTTTTTAAACCCCTCTAGCGTTATCTGTCCCTCACTTATGCTTTCCAGATATTCCACAAATTTCCCCCAGTCCTCGATGAACTTTTGGTCTCTTAGATATCTAATCTTCCCAGTCAATTTGTCCAACTCAGCATAGTCTATTCTCCATTCTTCCACCGTCGGTATTTCCTGTTGTTTCCATTTCTGAGCCAGTAGCACTCTTGCTGCTGTCACTGCATATTGGAAAAATTTACAGTCCTTTCTTTTTATCTCATTTCCTAATATTCCTAACAGAAAGGCCTCTGGTTTCTTTATAAATGTATATTTCAAAATCTTCTTCAGTTCATTGTATATCCTTTCCCAGAAGCCTTTCACTTTCTTACATTCCCACCACATATGATAAAAAATAACCTTCTTTATCTTTACATTTCCAACACTTGTTACATGTCTTATACATTTTCGCTAATTTCACTGGTGTTATATACCATCTATAAAGCATTTTCATAGCATTTTCTTTTAACATCATACATGCTGTAAATTTTAGGTTTTCTTTCCATAATTTTTCCCAGTCCTCAAATTGTATGTTATAACCAAAATCTCTGGCCCAATGTATCATTACCGACTTAACTTCCTCATCTTTCAAATTCCATTCTAACAACAACTTATACATTTTGGATAAAATTTTGTGGTCATTATTTATTATTTCCATCTGAAATTTTGAATCCTTATCAGCATAGCCACCATCTTTGATAGTATTTTTGATAGTATCTCGATTTTTTTCCAGTCTTTTCCCAGAGAGTAGCATAAATTTAGTAGCATCATTCTCTGAATTTGCTCCAAATTGTATGCAAAATACTTTTTATCTGCTAGAACTGAAGAAAGGCCAGGATTGAAGTTTTCCCAAAGCTTAATATCCTCTCAGCTCCATTGATGCCATATCCATTTAATTTCCCATCTTTCCATTTGTGATTTTCTCCTCCAAATCCTTGTATGCAAGGCATTTCCATTTCAGCACCTGCTTTTTTTCAATTTAGCTATTTCATCATCCAGTCCTGCCAGCTTTTCATCTATTCAGTATGAAGTATTTAAGTATTCTTCATTTCATATTTCTCAGATTCATTTTCTTTCCCCCTGTCATCATACACCGATCTGATCATTTTTAATTGTTCAGCCATTAACTGTTGAACAATACCAACGGTCACTGGGAGATCCAAAGGTACATTTGCCATATTGGGTGCTTTTGATGTTTTGAATGTTATTAGCAACTCAGTCTACCTTAATATTTCCACGTTAAGCTCACAGCCAGCATATCCTTTCTCACAATAAATTCTTTCCATGGCTGGAATAATGGAGTAATTGCTGGTTTACTTTCAGTTATTTCAGCTCTTTAGTGGGAAGCAAGAGGAAAAGTGTTAATGATTCTTCACACATGGGATTCCTCCATCCATTTAATCTTTATTGCCAAACATAAATCAGACACGTCACTTTTCCTTAGACACTTTAATGTCCACTTTTCCTTTCTGTTATCAATCACCACATAATTATATTCTGTCTGTGGCATGCTTATAGAGAGACAGCTGAACCACCAATTCCTCTCCCCGGAAGTCCTCCTTCCTTGTTCTGTTGAGATTTTGCTCAAGCATCTATGCTGCTGAGATGGTCTCTTTTGTATAACCTCCCCCTCTGTTTCCTTCTTGGCTTCAGTTCTCACCAGCTGCGACAGCAAAGGCAGCAGAGGGAGCCTGGCTTGCTTGCTGGATAACGACAGCAGTCTGATGGAGAACGTGTGGTCTTTTGCGGGCATCGACAGGTAAGGGGAGGTCTCCCCTTGTGTGCCCTCTGACAGGAGGCCTGCAAGGATGCTTGTAGATTGGGGAATGGAAGTAAACTGCACAGCACAGGTGGTTGACCACAAGAAGGAAGCGAAGATTTCCCATATAAATTCATGGTTGCTGGTGCCAAATTGGTAAGAACGTGAGAGAAGCCCTGCAGCTAAAAGAGACCAATGGCCTTGTCTGGTCCAGCATCCTGTTCTCATAGGGCCCAATCCCAATGGGAAGCCTGTGAGCAGGATCCAAGCGCAACAGCAATGCTGTCCCCATTTGTGATTCCCAGCAAAAGGCATATCGCCATCATGGCTAGTAGCCACTGACACTGCTTGCTGTTGAATGACCCAAGGAAAGTAGCCAAACATTTCCCACACTTGTGGTGCGAACTTAATAATGCTTACTCTGAAGTAAGTCCCGCTGTTTCCAGTGCAGCTTACTCCAAGGGAAGGGCGCATTGGATGGTAGACTTTATTCCCAGACGTGGAAGGGCTGGAGCGGGGAGAGGGTTTCTGCTCCAGAGAGAGAAACCTGGTTCCATGGGCTGCTTTCCTCCTGCTCAGAGGTCCCTTCTTCCACACTCCCTTCTGGTTTTCAGGGATGCTGGGATGGCGCTGCTCAGGAATGATGTAATTGGAGCCTTCCTCCTCTGGGCTGAGCCAGGGGCCACCGATCAGTGGTGTCTTACAGTGAGGACAAGATGTGGAATCATCCCTTACCAGATTTACAGGAGCCAGCTTGGGAAGTATTCTGTGGAGGTGAGAACTTGAGGAAAATGACATGCCAGCTCTGCCTGATTCTGTCTGATTCAGTTGTTGCAAGCACATTCGGACAGGTTTTTTAAAACTCCTGTCATACAACATTGCCAATATATTGGACCACAGTCTCATCACTTTGGTGCACGAGATAAGCAAGTTTCCAGGAGCCAGAAGGAATGGTAACTAGTTGGATTTGTATCAATGGGTTAAAAGATTAAAATGTTAAAACACTAACTGAAATATTGAAAACAATAAAAATTCTACTAGCACTCACCAACATTTCTGAGTTCCTTTGGGGACCTTTTTGGCCAAAAGCAGTCCAGGAACAAAGTATGACAATAGTAATAGAAACACTACACAGCTCTTCCTGTCCTTAAAGCCTCCATCTCTTCCCCCTTTAAATAAATCTTTCCCTTACCTCTCAATAATAGCTCCTGCATTGATTTGTGCTGAAATTCCACAAGGGACTGTTCCCCTTTGCAAATTAGATTGTGTGGGAACATTATGTGACATCACAGAAGCTCGCCCAATGTGGGGTGGTTTGCAGGCAACAGCCAGTTTTAGGTCTCTTATCATTTCTTTCCTTTTCTCCTGTTCTCATAGCATTTGAATGTGGAGTTCCCCAGTATGGAAGCTCTGTTGGATCACTACTCTGGAATCCAAGGAGGCCTGTTCTGCTCTCTGGCTGCAGGCCGGATCAACCACTGTTACGAGGAGCAAGACTGCGCAGCGGAGGATCCCTGGAAGGAAGACAGAAGCCGCCGGCAGGCGTCTTGGCTACATGGCACTAGTAAATCTCTGGCTGTCCCACAGGAACTGGGATGAGGAATCTGGGCTTAGCTTTCCTGCCTTCCACATGCTATCTGTGCTAACTCTTTTTGTGGTGTTCAAGCTATGTGGCACTTTTGCACTTGGGCTAGCTTTCTACTACTGATATGGTAGGGATTAGGCTTCATGGCATTGATCCAATCCTTCCCTCTCGCCCCCTAGTAGAACGGCAAACTAGTCTTAACTTTTCTAGCCAAAGGGTCCCATGGCGCTGATGCCCCTGGTCATTCAGAGATAGATTTTTCATCAGCGGCTGAAATCCTGCACATGCCATATTTTAAAAAAGTAAAATTCCTGACACCCGCAAAGTTGTTGAGCTTTTTTAAGCAAACCACTACCAATTTGGGAACAAACCCAAAGTGTTTAGCTTTTTTGGGAAAACCAATAGTTATTTTAAGCTTTTTGAGCTTTTTCCATTGTGTTGCCATACTTCCGTGTTCTCCCAGACATTTTGCCCATTTGGCAGAATTCCCCCCTGACAACATTTTTACACCCGAAAACCAGGACATGGCAGGAATTTTCCTGACGTGTGGCAAGCCTACTTTCCAAGCACAAAAGCCCCATTGGTCTTGGAGTTACTGCTGACTAGAAGTACCCTAGAGTTGCACTTTTTGTCTCAGTCCTGCATCACAGAATCGTAGAGTTCGAAGGGACCCCAAGGCTCATCTAGTCCAACCCAATGCAATGCTGGAATCTCAACTATGAATTCATTTAAAGTAGCTAGGTGTTCCCTCACCACCTATTTTCCTGTCTTGGGCTGCAGCTCAGACAATAAATCCTCCTTCAATTAGAACATTGGTTTACCAGATTCTTGCCACTTATCTTAAAAACAAACAAATTAACTGAGCAGTTGAGAGGTCAGAGATAACTCCAGGTTTAATCTAAATAAAATTCTGCAAGTAGTTTTTAGCTCTTGCAGGTCAGTTAAGACAACACCCCCTTTCCCACTTAATGCTGCTGATTTATGTTCCTTGGGTTGTGTCCAATGTTGGTCCTACTCAAAGTTAATGTACGTAATTTTAATGGGTCTACTCTCAGTAGAATTTAGTTGGTTACAATCCCTTGTTTTCCTTATGGGGGTTTATGTACCTGCTGCTGCCAGAATATTTTGAAAGAAATATTTTTTGGGAGGGAAATATTTGTGAGCATGCCAATATATGAATACATAACCTATATTTTAAATATGTTTATATATAAATGTTATGAAAAATATATTTGTAATCCAAAATGATTAAATTTTATCTGCCGTTTTTGTGTGAGAATGTGTTGGGAAATGGCAATAAAACGTGACTGGGAGGAGAAGACCTTTAAAATGTTAGTTTTCGAAATCAATGGCGGCCATTAAGGCCTAGATGCCTCCGTTGCCTAGCAACAATCGCTCAGCTCCGCGCTGTATTGGCCATGACTGCGCTCATGCTTGATTGGATACCAGCAGCAGAAGAGAAGCAGCGATTGGCTTCCGACAAGGGCCGAGCTCAGACTGGCAGATCCGGCCGCGGGGAGCAACGGCAGGAAGGCTCGGCCGTGTCGAGAGTTGTCTGTCTCTGATTGGCTCAAGGCGGAAGGCAGGGCGGGCACTCGCTCCCGTGCGCACCACGTTGCCTCGTCGCCTGCTGTTCGTTGGCTGGGAGACGCTTGGGCGCCCGCCTTCCCTGAGAGGGCGGCGTCCGCTGATTGGCGGCTGCGGCGGAGTTCGCTTCCGCGTCGCTCGGAGAGTGGGAGAAGGCAAGATGGCGGCGGCAGTGCGTGGAGCTCCCGGGCTGCGCCGGCGGAGGTCGATGGCAGCTTCTCTAGCGGCGGCGCTGGTGCTCCTATGCCTGGCGCGGGAGGCGGCGGCCGGGGGAGGCGGGACCCGCACGCTGGTGCTGCTGGAGAACATGAACCTGAAGGACACGCACTCGCTCTTCATGCGCAGCCTGGCAGGTCTGGCCCAGGAGCGGGGAGCGCTTGAGAGCAGACGGGGTCGGGGGTGGGAGCCTTTTCCAGCGCCACGGCAGCATTCCCTTCAAGGCAACCTCCCAGAAGGGACGGGCCAGCGGGGTGTGTGTGTGTGTGTGTGTGTGAACACGTGGAATTCCTACCTTTGGACGGTGACTAGCGCTGTGGGTTAAACCACAGAGCCTCTTGGGCTTGCCGATCAGAAGGCCGGCGGTTCGAATGCCCGCGACGGGGTGAGCTCCCGTTGCTCGGTCCCTGCCCCTGTGTACCTAGCAGTTTGAAAGCACACCAGTGTAAGTAGATAAATAGGTACCGCTCCGGCGGGAAGGTAAACGGCGTTTCCATGCGCTGCTCTGGTTCTCCAGAAGCGGCTTAGTCATGCTGGCCACATGACCCAGAAGCTGTACACCGGCTCCCTCGGCCAATAAAGCGAGATGAGCGCCACAACCCCAGAGTCAGCCACGACTGGACCTAATGGTCAGGGGTCCCTTTACCTTTTACTAATACTAGTAATAATAATTTTATTATTTATACCCCGCCTATCTGGCTGGGTTTCCCCAGCCACTCTGGGCGGCTTCCATAGAACACTAAAATGCAATAACCTATTAAACATTAAAAGCTTCCCTAACCGGGGCTGCCTTCAGATGTCTTCTAAAAGTCTGGTAGTTGTTTTTCTCTTTGACATCTGATGGGAGGGCGTTCCACAGGGCGGGAGCCACTACCGAGAAGGCCCTCTGCCTGGTTCCCTGTAACTTACATTAAATATTTATTACATTTATCAAGGATGGCGCACATGGTTCTCTTGTTCCTCATTTCATCCCCACAACAACCCTGTGAGGTAGGTCAGGCTGAGAGACTGTGACTGCCCCCCCCAAGTGAGTTTCATGGCTGAGCCGGGGATTCGGAGCGTCGCCTCTCCGAAGGTGCTTCTTCTGCACTCTGAATCATTACACCACTAGGCTGTATGTATATGCACAGATTCTCACACACGCACCTCTCTACTCTCCATTCCGGGGAGTGGGAACTGTTATCAGAGTCCCAGCACATGTTCCAGTGTGGCACAGTGGTTAAGAGTGTTAGACCGGAACCAGCACTCAAATCCTCACCGCCTCTCAGCCATGAAACTCACTGGCTGTTGGTCACTCTTAGCTGAACCTACCTTGCAGGGCAGCTGAGGGGATGAAAGGAGGAGGGGTAGAGCCGCATATCCCAATCTGAGCTCCTTGGTGAGTTATAAATGAACCATGAGTAGGACACGATTTGTTCTCATTCCCAGGCTTTTCCAGGTAATAACATTGTTATTTAATAACATAACCCTCAAGCTCATTTTAGGCAGCTCAAGAAATTTTATGTTTTATGGTTTATAAATGCTTTTAGGATAAATGAACAATTGGCGTGAATAATTCTGTGGGGCAGGTATTGCAAACAAGGGGAATAGAAGAGGCACCGTGGGGGTTGTTTCAGGCCAGCTAATATCCCAGCAGCGGCAAAATGGGAATTTGGAACTCCCTGATTTGCCCGTCAGTCTTTTAGCAATGTCTAGTGGGCATAGAACTTTACTGGTTCCTGGATTCCTCTCTGTGCTTGGGAATGTTACAAGTCCCTTATTTTCTCTTGCACTTCTAAATCTAGATAGGGGCTTTGATCTCACCTTCAGGACTGCAGATGACCCTGGGTTGTCTCTCATTAAATATGGAGAGTTCCTGTATGACAACCTGATTATCTTCTCTCCATCGGTAGAAGGTAAGACAGAAATGAAGCAATGTAGAGAAGTTTGAGTGCAACCCTATGCTGTGTTTATTCAGAAGTGAGGACCACAAAGTTTGTTCGAGCTTTATTTCCTTGAACTGTACAGTTCTTATTGTATAAATAATACTTGTGTGTCATTATTCTGTTTTGCTTTGTGCACCTGTTCCTTGAACAGCTTATCTTTCACCTGTTGAGTAGGAAGTGGTCTTCATTTGGGGGGTTTTTGGTTGGATTGGAAGGCATTTCTTTCTGTCACCCTTACAATAGGCATGACGGATAAATACAACTGCGTGTTGCTTTTTGCTAGAAAAACATTTACGTTTTTAAAAATGAATTTTGAGGGTGGGGGTTTGGCTGCTGGAAATCAGTCATTTGTGTGATGTGCAGCCCTGAAGTCCAGCTGCTTCACCTACCTCTGTATGCACTGCAGATATTATCCCTCCTTGCAAATCTAGCTTTTGCTTTGACATGTTTAAACATCATTGGCCCTTCGTTTCAGATTTTGGAGGCAACATCAACGTGGAGACCATTGCTGCTTTCATCGATGGAGGGGGGAGCGTCCTTGTGGCCGCCAGTTCAGATATTGGTCAGTAAAATGAACTTTATCCAACGGAGAGCCTTTGACTTGAAAGAGAGCTTCTCCCTATCCCCACCATGAATGGGGAACTTCTCGTTGATCAGCCATTTTGTTTTGTAGTTCGGTTCAGCTGCCTGTGCCTAGAATTCATTTGGCTATAGCAGTCCTGGAATTCTGGGTACCACTGTAAATTAAATAGGAAATACAGGACAATGTACTCTTTCTAACCACCTTAAAGTGTGAATGCTTACTGTAAATGTGTTGAACCTTCCACTATTTAGCTGGAGAACTGAACCTCCTAAGCCAAACCTCGCCAACCCAGTACCCTCTAGGTGTTTTGGACTGGTATTGGCAGCTGTGCTGACTGCAGCTGATGGGAGTTGCAATGGGAGGGCACCAGGTTGGCAGGAGTTGACTTACTACTTCTACCTGAGTGATGAATGAGTATAGATTTAAGAAACAACAAACCTAGGGTGGCGCAACTTCCTTACGGCTCTTCCATTAGCACCTTTTCTCTCTATATAGCCATTATCTCAAAGGAAAGCAAAAGGGTCTGTTTCTGTCTGCTGTCATCTTTGAAGGTGGCATGATTCCCCCCCCCCCCTTCTTTTGCATCTGTTTGGAAGCTGCTGTCTTGAACAGAGTTAAGTAAACATTTGTGGCATCATAAAATAGAGCTCTGAGCACTTCCACCCTCTTTTTCTATGCATATAATATTTCTTCGTACTTAGAGACTGATTTGTGTGCGTATCATCTAAGTAGATGCCAGGCTACTTGTGGCTTTAATTATAAACAGCTCCCCTTTTTCTAAACAAGTACAATGTTGACAATTCTTAGGCGATCCCCTTCGAGAGCTGGGAAGTGAATGTGGCATAGAATTTGATGAGGAGAAGACAGCTGTCATTGACCATCACAACTACGATGTCTCTGATCTGGGTCAGGTAAGCAGCAGGATGCAAAGTGTTGGGTAGACTGGCTTTCCACTAGGCAGTAAATATGTAGTTGTTTTGAAACAATTGCTTGTGTTAACCATTAAGCTCTTACGAAGGCTGCAGGTGGCAGCCAGCATCTTAGAAAAGGCCACAGCCTCTTCACTGCCACGGAGGAGGGAAAGCTGCTTCCAAGATGGTGCTTGCTACAACATCTACACGTACATTTGAAAAACAAAGGACATATGCCAATTTACCAGTTGCCGTATTTTTCGCTCTATAAGACGCACCAGACCACAAGACGCACCTAGTTTTTGGAGGAGGAGAACAAGAAAAAAATATTCTGAATCTCAGAAGCCAGAATAGCAAGAGGGATCGCTGCGCAGTGGAAGCAGCAATCCCTCTTGCTGTTCTGGCTTCTGTGATAGCTGCGCAGCCTGCATTCGCTCCATAAGACGCACACACATTTCCCCTTACTTTTTAGGAGGGAAAAAGTGAGTCTTATAGAGCAAAAAATACGGTAATTGATCAGACGAATCTACTTTCGGCCCCAACATGGACATAGAATGCCAGCAGCCACTGGCTACATTCTCAACTTTTGCGGCCTCTTCTCTTTCCTCCATTTGCAGTGAAATGAATGAAATGAGGAGAACTGCGGTTAACCATTTTCCCCCCTGTTTTATGGGGAACCAGAAAACTCCGGCTACTAGCGTCAGAACAAGCCAGTATCAAAAATATGGTTCAAATTATGGTTAAATATTCTGGCTAGTAACTGTAAATGTCTGACTCAGATGAAATGCAGCTATATGGAGACTACTTGGTTGAATTGTGATGTTCGTGAAGGGGCTGCCCTTGTAATGCAAATGCTTGTGCCTATCTTGGTTGATGGTGCTGAGCTGTAACCATCCAAATACAGCCTTTGTGTGTTGCAGAGAAAGTTGGAGAGGGCAGAAAGGCGGAGTTGGGGCTGGTGGGCAGAGGACTGTGGCTTCTTCTTCTAAGGCAAAGTGTTAGCCACATTGTCATTTGATGAAGCATTGGCTGAACCTGCCTATAGAGTTGGCAGTCCCCAAAGGGTTTTATCTGCGGTCTCTTTGCAGCACACCCTCA